TTTTTTTTTTTTTTTTTTTTTTTTTTTTTTTTTTTTTTTTTTTTACCATCCCCGTCACTCTTGCTCCCAAAACGCAGCCTTGTAGGCTCTTGGAAATTGCATCAACCCGGTCTTTTCTTTGCTCGTAGTGTGCCATGTGTGTGTGTGTGCACTAGTCCAGCAAAGACGGTCGTCGACAGTGATCTTGGAGAGACGTTGATCCTTTCGTTTGTTGTGGGACTTGGTCCGGGCTGATAAAGACCCAGACGTAGGTGCGGATAAGGATGTCTGCTCTGTCGTTTCGTATTGGGTTTTGCTACTGCATGGGTGAGTCTGAGCGTACAGTACACGGGATGGACATTTTGCGATCCTGAGACTTTTTTTTTTCGAGGAAGTAGGAGGCGTATTAGTTCAGGGTTGGTGAATTCGCGACGATTACGATCGCTCCTGTGACTCGTATGACTCGTAGTTTCGGCTAGACTATACATGACAAGACGAAACGAAGGGCCATACTCCCAGCGTATCGACAGTGCCAGTGCAAAGCCGGTTCTGGAGAGGTTCGATTTGGCGGCAAATTCTGTACGCGCAGAGACAGAGACAGAGACAGAGACAGAGAGCATGGCGACACGGCCGAACAAATTTGGGCAAGTGGCGAGGAGGCAGCGACCCGCAACGCCGCATGCAGACTGTAGCTAGAAGTGATCTGCTCGACAGCTGCCAAACAGAGTCGTTCATGGCGAGCACTGCGTTTGCAGCTTGCTCGGCGCCTCATCACCACAAACATGCTACGCTCTCATGCTGATCGCTAGGCGTCAGACGGACGGACATGCTGATGGACTGTTTCAAGAGCGAGCAAGAGCAAGACGGAGACCACCGAGACAAGCCAGCCGCCGAGCCGAGCCAAGAGCAAACCACCTGCACCTGCACCTGCACATGCACACACATCCCACATCTCTGGACTCGACCACAATCACACGACACGGGGGCACCCGGCGGGGGAAAAAAAGACACACCAAGCAAGCATCAAGAGCGACGAGAATGGAACCTCCCAACAGATCGCAGGAGGCAGAGTGGGATTTTAGTTCCAGCAAGTCACAGCACAGCAATGACTGAAATGACTTGTGGAGGCGGTCGGTCGTATATGAAATACATGCAAAAAGAAAAATGGAAGTGGGGCGGGGAGGAGCCGGGGACGGAGCCTTGGCGCTTTGACAAGTGTATGCGCGTCAGAACGGATGTGTGTGTGCGTGTGTATTAGGATGTGTGTGTGTGTGCGCGAGATTGGCGATCGCGGGCCAGAGCGGGCTGGTGCGACTCGGTATCTTTTTTTTTTGGTGTTTGGCGGGACCCACTGCCATCAAAGATGGTGTTTTCGGTCGTGCTCGCGATCACAATAGACAAGGTACAGTTGCAATAAGAGTCGTTTACGAACGGGGCTTCTCCTTCTTGCCCAGGAATAGTGCTCGGAGACCTACACCCGAGACCTTGACAACCTTGAAGCGCACACCGGGGATATCACCCTTGGCCTTACCGCGACGACCGAAGCCCGAGATGAGCACCTCGTCGTTCTCGTCGACAAAGTTGAGACAGCCGTCGTTGGGCACGAAGGCCGAGACCTTCTTGCCGTTCTTGATGAGCTGGACACGAACACACTTTCGGATGGCCGAGTTGGGCTGCTTGGCCTCAACACCGATCTTCTCGAGAACGA